CACGGCAATATTTTGGATGTTTCCCCTAGACCTTGCCGATGTTAGGTAGCCCCGAAAAGCGAACTTTGTTGGTTCATAGTCCCATAGTATTAAGCCGATTGAGGACCGGTACCTGAAAAGGCTGAAAAGGGTGTGGATCAATAGCTACTAAATGGTCCTTTAAAACCAGGGGATTCCAGAGTTTTGACCCATGCCCATATTTCAACCTTTTTTTTTCCGAGGGGTATATAGTATATAGACCATTTATGTTTGGATCTTCTTCTTCTTCTTCTTCTTAGACTCAGGAACACTTACAAGCAAACCACAAAAAATCCTTTGAACAAACATTGTTTTCGGTAGATTTTCAGTGATTTTCCGCATGATTCTGGCTTTGGATCCAGATTTCCTGAATGTGAGGACAATGAGACCGACGTGATGTGGCTTGGCGACGAACCCATCAAGAAGACCTGAGAAAATTGGGATGAAACAGAAAACATGGAGTGGGGGGTAATGAGCAACATTGAGCAACAATGGCAGGGGTTTGTCCCAGAATTCGTTGAAGGGATAGTTTACAGGGACCACAAACATTTGATCATTAGAAACATAGCCAATGCGCTTAGCGCACTTGCTCTTTGGGCAAGTGTGGGTTTCACTTTGATTGAGTTGGTTCAGAAGTGCCCAAAGTGGTCTCTGCAATCCGGTAACAATTTCAGGACCGATGATTGAAGCTGTTGAAGCCATACCACAGCAGATGTCACACATCCTCACATTCCCCCCGATTAGCGGGTTACCGCTCAACCCTTTAAGGTGCTTAAATAGTGGCAAAACACCTCCCGGAAGGTAGTGTTTACAGATGACACAGAAAGGACCCGGAAAGGTCCAGTACGTTGTAGGTTTGTAGTAGTCCCTAAGTGTCAAATGGTTCATTTCACCCTACCACAGTGCCAGTCCCAATGTTTTAAATGATTTCTATACCTCCTTTTGTTGAGATAAATAACTCCGTTTTCACGGGCTTCAAAAGGACACAATTGCAGGAACCCCCTATGTTTTCTTTTTCAATAAAACCAACCCATATCATATTAAGTTGGTATAAGTTGTTATTGTTATTTATATATTTGTACATGTATCCCCATTATGTCCACATATTATACCACCATTTTTGTTGGTGACATCCACATTTTGATTTTTTAAATCAACATCCACCAAAACCAAGAAGGGATTCACATTTCATGGATTATTGTGATCCCCAACACATTTGGCACCCTCTGGTAATTTGACAGTTGCTATTGAACATTGCCATTTACAGTTGATTTACCTACTGTCTTACCTCTTAATGAATAGGAACGAACGATTTGAATCATTTTAAGTCCTAGCTTTGGGGTCTTTTACATGGACCAAGATACCCGTCATGATTGATTGATTTATAAATTATCTCAATTCCTACCATACCTGCTAAATCACCATCATTATATGTTAAATTCCCATGATGTCCCCATGGGTAGTACAACACCCATTGATGTCATCCATCCATACCATCATAAGGACACTGACCAACTATAGTTTCTATATATTTACACACATATTACTGCTATCATTGATCATTATCATCAACTACAATATTTTCATCGATGACTATGATGACACTCATGAATTATTATCATTTATAGATGATGATTTTCCATCATTTTTCTTACTATCATAGTATTACACGTTAATTACGGTTACATCAATTTGTCCCATTGATCGATGATGCTTACCCCATTTACTTGGGCCTTTCGCGTCACCCTTTCGGCTCGACTCCGCATGTCCGATTTCCGCTGCAGCTCGGGACCGGTCCGAACCTTACCTCAGAGCTGCGGTGACGGGAAAAAGTAGGGTGTGTATGTATATGTATGTATAATTATGTATATATATATATGTTATGTATACATGTATATATATATATACATACACATGCACATGCAGGACACATACAATGTATATATTTGTATCATATGTTTCCACATATATATATAGATATCATACACATCAATGCATCCATTAGAGAGGACTCTCAACGGCCCGGCCCATGAAACATCTCGCTGTCTACCGAGGCGTGTCTCCGCAAAAGCGGTCCGTCGCCGGTTGGCGTCGGTGATGCAGTGGCCGCATTCTCCGGTGCGGTGTGTTGGAATGACAATCTGACGGTGGGTTGTTTAAGGAAGAAACATGTGATTTAACCAACCAAAATGGAATTTAACCATCACATTTTGACAAATGTGGTGATTTAACCAACAAAAATGATAGTGTCACCAGCGAAAAGTGGGATTTACCATTATCTATCTAACCAACAAAAGTCGAATGTACAAAGATAGCAAATGTTGATTTAACCAGCAAACATGGGGATTTAGCTGATGGTTTAAACATCAAACAAAATATATGTATATATGGGGATTTAAGCAACCACCAGTGGTGATAAAGTCGGGATATAAGCAACCATAAGGGCATGAAAAATCATGTTTGAACCACCGAGAATTCGGATTTGATTCAACCATGAAAAAAATGCGATTTAGCTGCCGACAGAATTATAGAAAAAAAGGATAAAGAAATACTGCAGCTGATGGAGCAAAAAAAGGAGATCAGATGCGTTAACTTTTTTTCCTATAATTCTATTTTTTCTATATTTATGTTTTTCTATATTTCTGTCGGCGGCTATAATTCTGAGGGAATTTGTCACGGTTTACCTAAAATACAGGCCTGGACATTGAGCACAGTTATTGATAAAAACATATAAAAACATCATTTTCGGTCGTTAACCCTTGTGGGCAAAACTCAATTACAGGATAGAAAAAACTGAAACGGCAGGTGCTGCAGTATTTTTGATATATACTTTATTTTTCTATAATTCTGTCGGTGACCAGCTGCCGACAGAACTATAGAATAAAAAGGATGGAACAATACCGCAGCTGACGGAGAAACAAAAGAGATCAGATGCGTTAACTTGTTTTTTCAATATCATTACGTGTTTTTTTCCTATTTTTTTTCTCCATAATTCTGTCGGCGGCTATAATCCTGAGGGAATTTGGCAGGGTTTACCCAAAATACAAGGGCAATATGAATTGTAGAAACAACCAAAAGTCTCCGACAGAATTATAGAAAACATCCCATGCTGTTGCTGCCGTATTTTTTTAATGGTTTTGTTTTTCTATAATTCTGTCGGTGACCATCACCATCAAAAATGGGGACATGCCAACTTTCCATGTTGGTGCTTTTCAATTTGAAGCCCCTTAAACATCCTTAAACCGTGTTGGTTTGATACCAACATGTTGTTTGGGTACTGATATATCTATGCAGCATATCTATACGGCCTTTACAATGCGCCATATCAATCCAACATAATTGCATAATACATCAAATCTGCAGTATTTAGAATATCAGCAACATGTCTAACAAATATCCAAAACACCAAGAACCAATTACTGTACATTTTTTGATGGTTGTATCAATACATTCATTCTTTTTTTGAACATCTAGATGCTTTTAGACAAAAATTGGGCAACCATTATCTAGAGGATCATATCTGGTTGGTGCTTTGGAACATTTTTTGTTTTCCATAATATATGGGATAATCCTTCCCATTGACTTTCATATTTTTCAGAGGGGTAGGTATACCTAGTATACCACCAACCAGAACAATATCTAGAACAATATCTATAACAATATCTAGGGGTAGGTATACCACCAACCAGGTATAACTATATCTACCACCACCAACACTATACAAAGACCAACATGTTCAAAAGCCACGGCCAGGTCTCAACTCAGACCAGTTCCGCGACTTGGCGGATCCTTTGCGATCCTCTGGGATCCATGGTACAACTAGCATTGGTAAAGGGTATATCACCATGAAACAAATCATAAGGGGAATATATATATAAAACTTATACCATTCATTAATATACTTGAATTCCAAATATGGAAATTAACAATGGACGTATGACACTAATGGGGATATCTGATTTGTGATGGGGATGTAAAACTTATCCCTCTGGTGGATTAATAACAGAGGCTCCCCTACATTCAACCACCAACCAATCGGTATGATCCGAGAACGCATCATATACCAAACTAGGGCCCCACTATTGGATACAATTGTATAACCATTAACAAGTGGGGATCTCGGATATGCACATTAATAATGTGTATAACATGGTATAACCAAAAAAAGTTGATGATACACTTGGCAACCAACTCAACATGATACGGGTAGGTTCAAGTGGAAATTTACGGGAATTGATATGGTTGATGACTAGTTGTCTGATGGGGATTTCACTAACATTTTTACAGGGGTATGAACCATCGCAACAAGTGGGATAATATTATGATTGATAAATGATAAATGATCATTGATGATTCCTTTGGGGGGTCTACTCTTATAGATTTTGGGACTACCATCATCCATGAACTGGGATTCCTGTTCTTAACCAACCATCTCTGAGAAAGAAACTGTCTTGGTGGGTTGGGACTTTGGACATCAAGAATGGGGATGGCCAGCAAAATGGTGCTGTGATGGGAATAGAATGGGGATATAGAACCAACTCAATATGATATTTTGCTTGAAGGGAACAATTATAGGACACCATGGTTTAATTCCCGGTAAATTCTGATGTTCCCTTCAATTCTGGGTTTATTTCTGTTCTTTTTTTGGTTCGCCAATACGACAGTGTGTGACGGGCTCTTAACTGTTCACATCACGGGATGATGATTGCAATCATAAAATTTGTTCACATCAAATAACCATTGGTTATATTCATTGGAATATTATATGTGATAATAAAAGATTATATGTGATATTATTGGTTTACAATTGGATAATTGGATAATTGGTTACAATTGGTTACAATTATTATATGTGTTCACATCATAATTGGTTTACAACTGGATAATTGGATACATCAAAAACAACATTGATACGCTGAACGGGGATGAATGGGCTTTAGCTTCCCCTGTGGTTCCTTCGTGAGGATTAAGCGCATCGCAACATGTCGCTGCCCTACTCGCAACATCCAGGTGTCGTGGCTGAAATGCCGAAATCAATACCCTTTGGTAAACTAACACAACTATAGAAAATCACCATTTTTCATGGGTAAATCCACAGTTTCTATGGCCATGTTCAAGAGCAAACTGTTCGTTTACCGGCGCCGTGGCTGTTTTTTTTCATGGCAACGCAACCACCAAGCCATGGGAGATGCAACTCATCTGATGGCTCCAGGTATGATGCCGCCAGAGCCAGCAACTCAGTTGCTTCCACTCCAATTTATGGCCGTTCATTTGATGATCTGGGGTATAAATACATGGGTATACCATGGGTATACCATGGTTTTTCGGACTCATTTAAGATATTTTCAGTGAGGTATCTCAGATGAGCTGGGATGGTTCCACGTTCCTGTTCTCCTGCAATTCTCGCTCAAGTTGACTTTGGGAAGCACTGTTTCGGACTTCAGGCGTGCCGCAGGGATTTGGCATGAGCCAGCTGGTGATGTGTGACTCCCAGCCTCATCACACCCTGGGAATGACACAGTCATGCATCTATTTGGGCGGTCGAAAGTGGCGAACTAATGCACCCACAAGGTTTGTTTCTTTAGTTAATTTAATCGATTTAACCAAGAATTTTGGGGTTAACCAACATGTAGCAAACATTAACCAACCATTTTAATCATTTAGCCAACCATTTTGGGGTCTTGACCCCTAGCCATGGCTTTTGTTTCTTTGCGACGCTGAGGGATACCAATGGGTGGATGGTCCTGCCAGAAGCTCAATGTCCAGATGGTCTCCCCGAATCCCAGTGTTTCAGGGAACAACTTTGGTGAAGAACCGGATTTTCGGATATTTTCTGCCGAAAAATGGGTGAAATCAAAGGACATTTCAACTTTCTATCCCAGATTTTCCTAGCAACTTTGGATAGGAAGGCCATTTGCAATCTAAAAATGATATGGATTTCCCGCAGATCTTTGCTGGAAAATCCATTCGCTTTGCGAAGGGCCAGCCACCTCAACAGCCTGCTGCACAGGCGAAGCTGGGCAATGGCTGGCTGGGAAATCAATTAAATTGAGATTTATTTCAATGCACAAATCATGGAACTAGGGGATTTTCTAGGCAATCTTTGATTACCAGAGGATAAATCAACTAATCAACTGGGGTGGAAGTTGTCCAACTTGAAGTTCACAAAAAAGGGAGGTTTTTGCGCAATTTCAGGGATATGAAGTGGACGAGCAGTGGCCAGCTTCAGATTTTGCCTTTCAAGTGACCTTGATGCCAGGCTCCCCCCCAGCCGATCTATCCGACAACACAACCTCAAGCACCTTGGCTGAGAACACTTCGCATGATAGGTGGGTACTGCAACCATCCCACTTGGCGATTGCTGAGGAACTGTGAGTTGAAAAAAGGCAATCCTACGTGGCTGTGGCTCTAAATGGTTCACACCCAGCATTGGATGAATTCGGATCTCCCAAGCCCCCACTGGTTTATTGTAGTATAATTGCTGTACCATGTCTTACCATTCCCACTGTTTGAAGGTATAAATAAGAAAACAACAGAAGTCTCAGCATTGGAATGTGGTTTATCAATGTTTATCAGAGGGTTCACCACATCAAATGGGATGCACATCCTCAGCTACCCAGGCTTCCCTTTTTTGCTGTCGCTCCAGGGTTCCCTAAGTGCCCCGTTTTCCAACTTGGGTGAACTCACCACGATGATATCCATTGATTTACCTTAAAAATCTTCAGAACTTTCAATCACCAAATCAATCCAATACGATCTCAGGATTTCATATCCCAATCATATTTAGCCACAGATTTTTTTCATCAGGAAATCCCTGAACGATCCATGGATGTTGAGTTTGCGGGGGAAGTCATCGGTTGGAAATGGGTGATTTCCAGCTAGCCATGATTGCCGGAACGTAACCATGAACAATAGGAGAGATAAGCATCACATTATTTTTTGATTTAAGGATGGAACATGGTGGTTATAGTATGTTATAGTTATGTTATAATGATAGGTTACACTATTACATAACGGAATTATAACGGATATATATCCATTGTAGATTCTAATCATCAGCATTTTAACGATATTCGGATCTTCCCCAAGAAGAATCACCAGCTGCAACGCCAAGGCTGGCACTCAATGGGTGGACAATCCAACGCCTCCACCCGTGCAAGACATGGCGGGGACCACGGGACCACGGGACCACGGGACCACTGGACCACTGGGATGGTTAATATATAAGGGAAATCATGCCCAAATGGCCGCAAGATTCAGGTGAATGTTAAATATTATAATTTACCCAGAGATATGCTGCTTTGCAGCTGTATGTCTGCTACTACTACTACTAATAATAATCATAACGATCATGATAATAAAAATAAATAGCAACAATAAATAAGAATCATAACAATAACAACAACAATAATAATAATTCCACTTAGATTCTTGAAGGTAATCCACCATTTTGGTAGACTGACACTCATACACCCCCTAAATGATCCCAAATATGTGCAAATTCCCAATTACACCATGGTTTCTGGCAGGTGTTTAATGTTAGGGGGCAGGGATTATTGATTGTTCATGGAATCATATTGAAACCAATCATCAACTCTTGCGGGTTCCCCAAGAAGAAATCATGGAGCAACTCAGCAACTCATCTATTTTTCTGAATGGAAGGCACATTTTGCGGTTTGATGCCCAACGTTTGCTCGTCACAATGGAGTTGTCTCGAAATCTGGAACCAGAACATTTGATGGTCCATCCTCTTTTTCTCTAAACATGGTCGAAAAAAATGGCCCATTCCCCATTTTGTCCCCATTTTGAGACACCTGACATGTTGTTTGGGCACACAAGGAACAGAAAATCCTTCATGTGTAGAAGTTTTTGGATGAAACCTAGATTTTTTGCGTGCTTTCTGTGGCTCGATCCCTTCTGTTTGGCCGCTGAAAATGCTGTTTGGTTTGGCCACGATGCCAGGTGTACCAGTGGGTGGACAGTCCGTCTTACGGTCGTCCCCCCGCGCCCGCAGCACCGGCGGCTCAACCCTACGTGCAGGTGCCAACCGGGTTGCAAGCTGAACCTTGAACGAAAAGGGCAATACAAATCATGGGAAATGGGAACCGTTGTTTGACTAAGCCTGATACAGTACCAATGCGTATGATTGTATATGCACATGTCGCCTTGTGATCAGGCCAGAAAACTACTGGAAACCTTGGCAGAATGATGGCAAAACCCCATAGTTTTCCCTTTTTTAATTTGGCTCAAGCTGACCCGTTGTGCGCGGCGCCATCAAGTTCGAAGATGATTAATCAAGTTTTATATAAGGTGTTGAATCGGAGCCGGCCCCCCCCTATCCTAAGATTCCCAAACGAAATCAAGGGGAGCCTTTGTTTGAGCTTCGAATTGAGTTTCCGAAAAGCACATTGATATTGTGAGAAATGTTTGATTTGGATTTGCTCAAATTTTCCACCGTCTGTTAACTTCACATAGCTATGGAACATCACCATTGTCAATAGGCAAACCTCAAACGGTCATTTTCCATAGCTATGTAACAAATTATCCGAGGGTATCTCCCCATTTTTTGTATTCCCAAAACATATTCCCTATGAAATCTGAATCTTTCATCTCCAGGCCCCAACGAATCCGTACTACCCAGGCCGAGAAGCACTGGGATGGTGAAGTCTTCCCATTAACCCACCAAGATAGGAAAATGGGAAGAGCTCACCATTTTTGCTGCAGGATTATTTGGTGGATCACGACTATACCACTTGGAGCTAGAAACTATCCCATTGCTCATGGGAATTCCACCTGGTGGGGTTTAATGGTAACGTCGTCTATTAAACATAATGTAGACATGGGGGATATTGACCATGAGTAATCAACACAATTTTGGATATATATATATATGTATGATATATGTATGATATATGATATATATGATATATATGATATATATGATATATATGATATATATGATATATATGATATATATGATATATATGATATATATGATATATATGATATATATGATATATATATGATATATAATGATATACATGATATATATGATATATATGATATATATGATATATATATATATGATATATATGATATATATGATATATATGATATATATGATATATATATATATATATATTAAGACCATTTAAAACCAACAATAGTAGGATTAATGCTCGTCACTCGTCACGGGATATTTGACTCTCCGTGGATGGAGCGCTTCGGAGCTATGGTTGTAGCCTATGAATTGAGGAGCTTCGCATCCCCATGGACATCAAAGTAGCGGCTTCCTGTAAGAATTCCCTGAAAAAACCAAGGCTGGAAGAGAGGAGAAAGTCAATTCGTGGGCTTTGGGTAAAGAAATCTTTGCTGCAGGAAAATATCTGGGTTCCTCTAATTTGGACATCCTTTTCTTGGTTCTACTTGGTTCTGCTCAATGCTTTCATAGTTGGCAAATCATTCACATTTTTTGCAGGTACAGCACCCCCCAGAAGATGGTACAGATCATAGTTTGCAGGTACTGCACCTATCAGATGTTAGCAATGATTTACCCTCTGGTTATTTAACGTAGCCATGGAAAATGGTCCATTTATAGAAGATTTATGATGATTTACCGTTCTTAAAAATGGTGATTTCCCATAGCTACGTTAAATAACCAGAGGCTATTTCTTAAATGGTTGTTTTACCTTTGACACTTGAAGCAAATCACATGTAGTTGCCTTGTGATAAACCCAACGATGTGCCTATCAGATGTTAGTATGGACTAACATCTGCAGCCAGGGGTCGACCCCTACGGAGCTCTTCCGCGCCCGATGGACGGGGATTTGACCAAAAACTGGTGAGTTTAACAGTTTAACCATGGAAAATGAGGATTTCAATGATGGATTTTATATAATGGTAAAATATGGTAAAATGGAGGTTTAACCATCCAAAAATGATGATTTAATTGGTGATTTAATGAGGATCTGCTGGGATTTCATGGTGATTTAATCGGATTTGAATGGGATTTAATGGTGAATCGTGCCTTACTTTTTTGCAGGCGAATATTTTGATATGTGGCAGGTGAATTTTTGATGAATAATAATGCTGAATGGAGAAATCATACTATGTCGTACTAAAGGTTGACCCTTTTGAGGTGTATTTGAGATGCGTAATGATTATATAGGTATGATCCCAATGAAAGCTTGGGATTGAATGCACTGCTTCAAGGTTCGAATTGTCGGATTCCAGCATAAGCAACTGAAGGGACAACGTGTTGCGTCCAAAAACCCTTCAGACAGATTGGAAGTTTGATATTTCAAGACTTCTTCGCAAATTGATGTTCGAGCTGTTTCGATATTTCCCCCATTTCCGGCCCATTTCCCCCAACTTGATCTTTCGTTTCATGCCTCCCCGCATCAGGACCCAATGGCACTCCAGCCTGGTATCGATCCTTTAAGACCTCCAGTTCAGGTCAGGGATTCAGATTTCAGCGAGGTCTTGGAGGTTGGTGAGGCCCCCCCAGTGAGCCAAGTTGCGTCAGCTGCCAGGGATTGGACCCGATCGCAGCACAATACCAGGCGTGAATGCGAGACTTCAGGTGGGTTTATCATGGATATACTGTATGCACACACACATATATATATAGTATATATGCATATATGAATATGTAATATATATATGATTATATTATATATGTTATATTATACGTATTCCAATATATTTATATATTTATGAAATGGACACTATTTATAACTTTGTTACGGCTAGATGGATAGCTTGTAGAAAAATGCTGGATGTGAACCTCCCGAATGGTTCCAGCATCCACCGATGAGTTGCAGGCTGGGCTGGCATATGGAGCTGATGCAAATCGTTACCAAAACCCACAGGCGCCACGGCATGATTTACCGGCTTAACAAAAATGGCGATTTCCCATAGCTATGTTAAAATACCAGTGGCTATTTCTTCAATGGTTTTGCCTTTGACACTTGAAGCAAATCACATGTGGTTTCTTGTGATAAACCCACCGATGTGTTGTATTTATTTATTTATTGTTTTATTTATTTATTCATTCATTTATTCATTTATTTATCATTGGTTTATTTTTATTTTTTTTTTTTTAAAGCCAACTCATATCATATCGTATCACATTTACCACGTTTTTTTTTGTCAAAAGAAGAACAACATCGGGCCTTGACTCAACGTGTCTTTGTCACCACTTCTGGATTCTGGATCATTGGAATCCAATTGAAGTTCTTGAAGATCTATTTGAAGATCTATTTGAAGATCTATTTGAAGATCTATTTGAAGATCTATTTGAAGATCTATTTGAAGATCTATTGAAAACCCAACATTTTCATCACTTTCCAAACTGTCGAAAGTCTACATCTGCAAGTCCTGGGCCGAATTTTTCTCCAGCGAATTGGCAAGGCTGGCATGGCCCCCTACGCGCCAAGGCCCTGTGGAAGATATGGTCTTTGAGGGGTGAAAACTGTGAAAACATCTCTGTTTTGGGTATGGTTTTGTCTCAAACTTGTCGAGTTTGGCAGGCAGCCTTTGGGTATGGATGACCTCACTTCAATTCGCTTGGCACTCAATGCCACAGTAAACTCCAATAGCAAACGAGCTCTCTTGTCACAAGACAACACGGGGTATGTTGAAATGTCGAAGAAACTGTGCACATTCCTTTTTCCGCCGCTGATTTCTCTTGATGTATATTCTAGTAATATAGCCACCCCCAAAAAATCGAAAAGATTGGACAGCTGAAACATGTAACTAGGGACAACATCATGGAACCATCCTGGAAGCACTTTTCGGCAGGGGGTTGAACCATGTTGAACCAAGGTATGGGCGGCAAGGGCGTGCCAAATGCCGTGGACTTTGGGCAGGCGGAAACTGGGGAAAATTGTCCGAAAAGGTGGGGTTTTCACCCCTGATTCCAGTGGTTTTGAGACTGCTTTTCGATGAATCGTTATTTTAAGCAGTATACCGACAAAGCATCAAAGCCGTCAGCGAGGATCAGAGCATCAAGACATTAAACATTGAAGAAAACAAGCCGGGGATGCCATATGGAGGTTTCCTAATGGCTGGAGGTATCCCAATAGCTGGATGGTTTATAATGGAACACTGGAACACCTTATTAAAATGGATGATTTGGGGGTCCCCCCGTTTTTTGGGTCGACATTTCATTTGCATAAGATTGACTCGCCCGTCCGCGGACGCGCGCGCACGCGCAATTTCGCCAGGCTGGCTATTCACATGAGACAGGCTCGAAGCTGGGCAGGGTCAAGCTGCACGAGTTTTGTCCAGCCCAGGTAAACATCAACTACCAGTTTATTTCAAATACCCTCTGGTAATTTAACATAGCTATTGAAAATGGCCATAGAAATAGTGGATTTTCCCATTAAAAATGGTGGATCTTTCCATAGCTACGTTAAATTACCAGAGGGTATACAGCTGTTGGTAAAAGGTTACCATAACTGGGTGGTAAACTACCCATCAAGATTTGGGTAGTTGATTGTTGCTTCACGAACATTTTTTGGGGTTCCCAGAAAAAACACTGATTGATATGTCCAAATTGAATTGATGCCCCCCCCGATATTGATAAACCAGAGGTTTATTGATCATCATTGAATTGATGGCTGGCGACCATCTTTCTGGCATGATAAAGAATACTTGATCAGTGCCCAAAACACCGCTACTAACCCCTTCCCAATAATTTTGAACATCCCCAAACACCCCCTAGCAACCATGGTCTACACATCTCAAATATTTCGGACCAGTTATTTAAGTGGGGTATTTCATGTTACGGGGATCGGATAGGGCTTATTTTGCCTCAGGGCCCAACCAAGTCATGGGGACCAGTCACAAGCCCCAGGAGGAAAGCGTGGTAAAGGGTCGGAGCCTCTGGTAATCATGGCCATGGCCATGGAGAATCCTCCATTTGTTGATGCTTTTCCCATTAAAGACGTCTTTTTGTAGTGGATTTTCCATTACCAAGTCATGGCTTTCCTGGCAGTCAGACATGCCCACGCTTCGCCAACAAAACATCTACGACGTTCATCTCAATGAGTTGGAGAGTGATGAAGAATATGTGTCAATCCGGTTGTTTTTCTACTTACCCTCTGGTAAACTAACATAGCTATGGAAAATCACCATTTTTAATGGGAAAATCCACTATTAATGGCCATTTTCAATAGCTACGTTAAATTACCAGAGGGTACATAAATGGCATAATCCCACCATTTTCAAAAAACCAGGTGTGCACATCCAGGTGCCACCTTGGTTCTCAGTTTCTCAGCCCAGCCTCGCCCGAGTCCCGAGGCAAAACGGTACTCAAAGGCGCCAGGTTGATGATGGGTGCAGTGCTGAGGGGGTCGTTTTTGGAGCTCACACCAGAATGGAGAACGGTGGCTGCTTGTTTGGTTGATGGTTTCCTGTAGATTTTCCAGCCAATCCAATGATAAAAGTACCCCACTTTCAGATTTTGGACCAGAGCCAGACTTGAGCATTTACAGATGATCTTGGAGATTTCAGTGTCAGAAGATTCACAGACTGTACCAGGCGCGGCAAAGGTCGACAAGTGGTTCCTCCGGGCCGCCAGGCCCACTTTGCGCAAGGGATTCCAATGTACACAATCTACAACAACAGGTATGGCAACAGGGATACCAGCAACCGAGATGATACACGTGTGTTTGCACCAACATGGTAAATTTTATGTACGTACGTACAATATCTCTCTTTCTCTCTGATATATAATTGATATAATTGTATGTAGTGTATATAACTAACTAAGTATGCGATATGATTTATATAATATATGATTGTATTTGTCGCATGGAGTGATCTGTTGATACAGTGTTCAGTCCTTTCAAACAACGGACTGTGCCTTTTCCCCTGTGGTTTTCCAGCAAAAAGTGACCAAATCGACCAGGTTGATACCAACAAAGTTCAAGTTGATGCGGGCCAAGCTGCTCTTGAGTCCTTCTGGCTGCAAATTCTGCTGGGGTTGATGGGAGATTGAAGCCAAAAATCCGACTTTGGGTGGTTCGTACATAACACGTGTATATGTCATTGATCTAACTGGGGATCTCAACCATATATAGCTAGGCTAGTTCATACGGTTAGAAGCCACTTAGTAACTGGGACACATCCAAGCACGTCCAAAGGAGGGTGTTGTATTGGTGCTGGGAGGGACTTTGCCTCTCTATTTGCATTCACAGATTTCTCATGGTTTCTCATGATTTCTCTATTTGTAGCTTTTCCTGCGACTTTCGAAATCCTGGACCTTCCCAAAAGGTCAATCTTTTCCAGATTGGGATCCTCCAAAAAGGCCAATCTTTTCCAGCGCCAGGAGTCTTGGCCCTGATGGATTGCGTCAGATGTTGATTTCGACCTTGGAATCTTTGTACGAGGACAGCACAAAAGCAGAGGAGGGAGCTATCTTGGACTATGGGGAGCTATATATCTTGTATCAGGTTGTATCAAATTGTATTCAGATTATTCAGATTCCCTACTTTTGGGGAGCCCATTAATTGGAGCTATGAATGGAGTTTTCCCATCCACAACATAGTTTGGCTTTGAGTTTTCTTTCTCCATGTATTTTTTTGCCTGGAATCTGCTGCACAGTTGACGCCAACGTTGGTTGATGGTTGAGCCTAGGGTGGTACTGCCAGGCCTGATCGTGGGACGATGTTTTTTAGGAGATTTCAGGCAGCCGTGTTCACAAGTTGGAATTTCAGATCTCTGGTAATTTCACATAGCCATTCAACATTATATATACATATACCATGTACCCATTTCTAGATGATTTGCCTATTATTTCCATGGCCATTTTCAAGGGCAAACTGCAAGCGATGACCAGATTGTGATGACCATCAGTCGCCGAAGGATCGCATCAAGCCAATGTCGAACTACATCAAAGGCCGTTTGAAGGAAAGGTCCCCCCGGCAAGATTTGTGGATGGCGGTGTTACCAGGAACTATCTGGAATTGCTCTTGGGACTAAGTTGCTACATTCAATCGAGTGATTAAAGGAATTTCGCCGGACACTCGAGTAAAAAGATGTCAAAAGCAGGGCTTTCCTGTCATTTTCCCTTTCAGCCAAGTCTGGGATAACTGGAATTCTTTCATCCATTTGCATCAATTAGCGTTGTCCCAGGAGCTTTGCCTGTCATGGGATTCTGCATTGATATGGCCCAAAACAGGGCATGTTTGATCTCCGAAATTCGCTGTTTGACGCGAATTTCGTGCCACGTCAGCGTGCCTTTTGTGCCTTGATCACTTGATCGCTGCGCAACAGGTCAGTACCTGACATCATTGTCAAATCGTTTGAAGACTTGTACACACAGCACCCGGACCTCTTTGAGGCGCTCTGTGCCAACGTCGCTGCTCTCGATGTCCGGTAACGTGCTGTGTTTTTGGAGGGGAAGTGCTCCGATGAAGTACAGTTGTTGGCAAACTCTCCGTTTATCATCACGCATTCCAGCACTTTATCCTGACATTCTGTTTCTTTCTAAATTTCATATATTTTCATATTATGGAGGTTTCCTTGAATGGGATACCCCAAATCATCAAAGTCATTAGACAATTTTAGTATTGAACCCCATGCTTTTGGGGATTTCCCATTTGAAGACACGTGTTTCTCAGATCATGCAAATTTCATTTTTTTAAGCTAATATATATATATATATTATATAATTATCATATATAATTCAACTGATTCATCATATGAGTAACTTCAACTGATCTATAAAGATATAGATTCATAAAATCAGTTTAGAATGATATTGAATCATATAATATATCATTGTTTAAAGCTAATGAATCATTCATTCTATGAGCAACTTCAAGTGATCTACCAATTCATCCATGGAGGTGCAGAATCCCAAGAGCGGTGAGGAGGCTCCGGAGACGAGCGTGGAGTAGTGATATGGGGGATTGATGGGGATCTGATGTTTAAGTCATGGGGATTTTAATACTTTTAATATGATGAAAATAGTATGAACATATGGGGATTTGATATGGGGCCATGGGGATGATCATCTACTTTTTCGATTCGATAGCTTTTTTGAAAGTTTTTTTTTTTCTGTTTTTCAATGTGTGAAGTTGCCAGTATGATGGGGATATCTTGGACAATGGGGAATAGATGAGCGATTTCACCAATGGAGATGGGTTTGTCTGAAAATCATGATGATTCACCAGTGGATGGAACCGTTTTATCCGTGGTACTTCATGGTGTTTCCCATAAAATTGTTGCAGAACACCCAATAGGAGGAAGATGATCGTAAATCATATGTCAAAGATATTTTCTCACATTTTGATACCTTTTGTATCATCATATATTCTTAGGTGACATTTATTATTGAAATTTTATCACTATTTTTCTTTTTGACGATTTCACAGATTCTTAATTGCTTTTGAGATTTGCATATATTAATGTTCGGAAATGTGAGGAAATCTTAGGTGTTTTTTGGTTTTCCTAACATTTTCAACACAAAAGTCATACCCAGATCGATCCAGCCCTGCAGACCACCATCTACTTCCACAAGCCACCCGCCTGGTTCAAGGGTGCGATGCTCAGCCCGTGGGAATTGATAAAATCCAACATTTCACAGGATAAATATACGTAGATATACAAATGGATGATGTAATGGATTGATACTCAATACGAATCAGCAAATAAATACATGAATAAGTAGAGAAGTAAACACACATAACACATAACACATAACATACATACATGAGTACGTACGTACGTACGTACGCACGTAAGTACATACATACATACATACATCACATTACATTACATTACATTACATTACATTGCATTACATTACATTACATTACTTACATACATAACACACATACATACACACACATACACACATACATACACACATACATAACATTACATAGCATTACATAACATTACATAACATTACATAACATTACATAACATTACATAACATTACATAACATTACATCACATTACATAACATTACATAACATTACATAACATTACATAACATTACATAACATTACATAACATTACATAACATTACATAACATTACATAACATTACATAATACTACATAACATCACATAACATCACATAACATCACATAACATTTAACATTACCTAACATCACATAACATTACATTACATTACATGACATTACATAACATTACATAACATTACATAACAATACATATCATTACATAACATTGCATAACATTACATAACATTACATAACATTACATAACATTACAAAACATTACATAACATTACATAACATTACACAACATAACATAACATTACATTACATTACGTTACATACATACATATATATATATACATACATTCGTGCATGCATGCATGCATGCATGCGTGCATGCATGCACACACACACACAGAGACACACACACACACACATAATGAAAGGTGAATCGATTATGTCCTCTGCCCACTGGCAACCAGCAAGTAAATGATGGCAACCGCTGTGCCAATCGGCCCCGAGGGTTTCATAGCCACCATATTGATTGAATTTCCAGATTCATGTGGTAAGCCCAATAATAAACCACAACCAAATGGAATCAATTTTTCCTTGGGATTGTATAAGTTCCCAAAACTTGCGAATGGTTGAATGATGTTGAATGGTAAAACCACGGGAACTTCAACCTCTCTTGTTTGAGAAAATGTCTGGAGGGTCTGGTTTACCTCTCCATTGACCGCAGGTCATTTCTGCAACGTTTGGATGCCGCTAAGGTTGGATTGACATCGATTCCCCACAGGATCCGTACGATGAGTTGCGGCCTCGTCATGTTTTTTTCTTTGTTGCGCCGTGGCTTTGGTACAGTAGCAACCCCTGTAGCACAACCCAAAGAAGATACAAAGGATCATAAACCCTACTATGATATTGGTAAAATTGTGTAATATCTTTTTGGGGCGTTACGAAGAAAAGGTAGGTTTTTCCACTTTTGACCCATCCAAAAGATGTGTTTTTTTTTTTTGCGAAAAAGACTGAAATCACTTCCAGTATCCGAGGGTTGCTTTCAGGTCCATGTGGAAGGAGTTCGCTAAGTTCTTGGATGGTGAGCATACCTTTGCTGGAGGCGGCTGGCGAAAGCTCCTGGTTAAAGATCACAAAATTCGATGCTTTCAGGTGTTTGATGGGGGTAAATGCACCATTTCCAGGTACCAAACCCAAATGGTCCGCAGTAGTAAGTGGCTCATTACTCGCCAATCCCACTGGGGTATACCCTGTACTTAAGTAAGTTATTTCATATAGTTTGTAACCACAGATCCGAATCCCAATCCCATGATACTCCCCGGTCCTCTAAGTAGGTATATGAAGACAGAATCCCATCCTCTAAAATAACAAAATACAAGCACCCTCGTTGTATGGTCCCAAATTCGTTTTTGCAAACCATGGTTTCGGGGGGGTGTCTAATTTGAACGGGGGATGGGAGTATAAAAAAAATCAATAACATTCCTACTCTTGTGAGGTTTTTTTTGAAGCATCTCAGGATTTTTTGAATAATCCATATATATATTATTATATTATTATATATTATATTATATAATATAATATTATATTATATTAAACTATAAAATATTATATTATATTATATTATATTATTTTATTTTATATTATATTGTATTATATTATATTATATTATAGTATAGTACAGTGTATTACATTATATTATATTATATTATATATTATATTATATATTATATTATATATTATATTATATATTATATTATATGATATGATATGATGTTATGTTATGTTATGTTATATTATATATATATTATATATGATTATATATATATATATTATATAATATAAAATATATGATATATGATATATTAGTTTTATTATATTATATTATATTATATTATACACATATATATTATATACATATATCATATATATATGTATATACATATATATGCTCACCCCCCCAGAACCCCCCCCGCATGTTGAGCCAACAATTGTTTTATAAGCTCTTGGTCTCTGCATAGCACAACTGATGTGTTTGCAGAAAGCAATGCTAGTGATCTAAACTGTATATTGATATTCTTGGAAGAAAACTATCATGTGTGGAAGGATGCAATGCATGCTTTAATGAAGCTCAGCCTTCCTCTCACTTCTTGTATGACCATGGTTTTCTGTTTTTTGATGAAGTAGAGGTAAGAGGGTAAGAATATACCTTTACTCTAGCTTCAATATATCTTTAATATACCAGTCTATCGACTGACAATATCTTCAAGATCCCTTTAATATGTATTTCAAATACAATGTAATACACCTTCAATGCTTTATATGCAATCTAATATACCTTTAGTATACCTTTATATAAATGCAATTTTATTGGTCATGTTCTTGCCTCTAATATACCTTTAGGATACCTTTATACCTTTGATGTAACTCTTAAATGCCATCTAATACATCTCTATACCTTCAATAAATTTACCTTTAATTTAGTATGCCTTGACGATACCTTCAATACATATACCTTTAATATACCAATTAATTAATTTAGCAGTTAATATACCTTTAGTGTACCATTTAACAAAACATGAGAATACCTTGAATATATTTTTGATATACCTTTAACATACCTTTAACACACCTTTGATATATATATATATATCAGATCTTTTGATATTCCTATTGAAATACAGTTGAGAGACCATGTCATATACCTTGAGTGTATCATTTCGTATACCATGAATATACCTTTGTTTTTTTTCAATATCCCTTCAATATACCATTTTATGGACCATCAACACATGTTTGTATTGAAATTGTTAATATACCTTCCATATACCTTTGCACTACAACTCTTTTCTAAATATATTGTATACTGTTTTTCAATGAATACTGCATAGACTAAGAGAGCTTTCTTATTGAAGTAATTCTGTGCTCTTTCAAAAGGACCTCACACATTTGATGGCATTTTCTAAGGAATACTGCACCCATGAAAGAGTCTTGCAAAGTATGCTAGTTTAAAGCAATGTTCCATTATCTCATACTTTTCGTAATTGAATAATGCAAAGAGTGATGCTGCGCTACTACATGTGCTTAAGAATACAACACACATCAAGAGTGCTGCGTCCATTCAAAGACTTTCTTTCAAGGCAAAACTGGTTCAAAGTACTACTGCATCTATCCCTTTAAAAAAAATAGATAGAAATAGTACAATCTTAAAAACATGCTCCACCATTTAATGCGTCCGATACTCTTTCAACAGAGCACCGCATCTATTTCAGGACTTTCTTCAGAGGTAAGACTCTTTCAAAGTACTACTACTGCATCTATTGACGCATTCTACGGCACAGAAACAGTACATTCTTTTACAACATGCCCCACTGGCCTCAACTATTTCACGCAATGTG